TCCCTCATCCTCCTCTTATCACTGACATACTGCATTTAAGATGCATTAGGTTTCCCCCAAAGCAAGACAAGATGTTCACCCCCAGGAGCTTACAAACAAATGAGGCTTGTGACAGTGAGAGAGGGCATCAGCACTCCAGGGCGGTTAAAGAAAGAGCACATTGTTTAGGCAACTGAACAGAAAAAAATAACTTAGTAAAACCATTTTTGACAGCTAAGTTGACAGATTAAGCAGAGTTAAACAGTCTGCTATAGAGCAGTACTTCAAATATTTTGGCAGGGTAACACACTACAACACATCATGCAGATGTTACTTCATTGTTAGCCGTTCATGACTGAAACGGATGACAACGTTCAGATTGTCTAACATATTCCAAATTAGTCCATCAGAAAAACCTCAAGCACTCTTCAAGAATGAAATTTCTTTTCATGATGTTTCTCATGGAAGAATGCTGCTTGCTGGGGTTGGCAACTCAAAAAAAAAACAAACCCACAAAAAACCTCATACACACTGCCCCCTGAATGACACCAAAGCAATCATCTCTACTGAATAAACACTGAGACTCCACAGTCACACCACTGTGTCTGCACCTGTCCTAACACTTGTCCACGTTAAGAGATTTCTTTCCCTCTGAGTCAAAGCACAACTGGATGATGGGGTGAAAACAAGTTCTAAGATGGTTTTGCTTTACTTGCTGAACTACAGCAGACACGGCTTGTGGACGCACTTGAGCTCAATCATCCCATGCAATCTCCAGAAAACTGCAACTGCTGCTATTTTACGTGGGATCAGGAATTCACCCAAGGAAAGTTTGTACAAGTGAATCCCTAAGCAGCGCTGCCTCCTGGGTACCTCACAACCTAGCTATTCTTCTACACGTTACTGTCTTATACAAGATGCAACACTAAAGTATCATCTGCTTATTAACACTTAACTTACTGTTGTCAAGTTTAAACATTTGACTTAGTTTTTGTAAACAAAATAATTTCTTTTCACCTATGGCAAACATATGCCATGCTATAGATGTTTTAATACTTTTCCCTGCACAAGCAACGAAAACAGAACTTGCCTTCTCCTCATGGCTCATTAACTTCTAGTCCATTTCATGAGCTGTTAAATTCAGCGTAACACAGTGATACTTCTTATGCAAAGGTGTTTGAAATGTTTTAGGTCATACTTGAAAATAGTCACAACATATTTGCTGTCATTCTCCCAGACACACAACTGCCACCCCTTCCCTGCCTTACCACATGCCCACCACACACTGGGGAACCCTCCCGTTCCCAAAAGCATCGCCACACATGAGGGACACAGTACATCACCAGCCTCATCAACACAGCCATGTCTGCACACTGAGGCAGGCTTTTTCAGATCTGTGGTTGCACAGAAGTTGCACTAGATGGCAGCTTTCCCCTATACAAGTCCATCTTCCTATACCACTGCATTTGCACACGGCTCTCCCTACACCTCCCCATATGAGGGAAGCATGTACTAAGTAGTGACATGCTGCTTTAGTAAAAGGTTTTAGAGACAGACATTGCAGCTGCACAGCTGAAGCCATTTCTAACTATTACAAAACAGAAATCTTTTAGCTACCATGTTCTTATTTCCTCATACTTCTTTACAAAAAATCAAGGGCATCAAAAAGTCTAGGTTTAACACAAAAAAAAAAATAACACTCCACAAATACATCAGTTGTGGCAAAGGCAGCAAAGCCTCTGACATTATCTAGCAAAGGATAGATGTTTCCATGCTGTATTCATGCTATCCAGCTACACTTGTAAGACTAAAACACTCTGTCAATAGCTGTTAAGTTATAGCTCTTGAGAAAAAAAGAATCATTCTAACCTACCACATTTCTGCACAACTGAATCCTCTCTTGAGCCAAGTCATACTCTGTCCAAATCTTCTGCAATTTGCCCAAGGAACACGGAACAGCGAGACATCCTTCTGTAACCACATTTATGGCTTGTGAGAGCTGCTCCCCAAAACAACTGTTCTTATTTGTGTGCCTAAGTTGTAAGGCGGAAACAACACTTTATCAGGACTTTTTTCCAGAACTCAAGCAGTCTAAAAATCAATGCTATTCAGACCCCCTGAACATAAGAATTTTGGGATAGCACCTGCCAGGTTAATAATTTAGTTTCTTTCAAAAGGTAGCAGAAGCAGTTTGTCTCATTCAGCTGTTATTTTGGGGGGTTTTTTTTTGGGGGGGGGGGGTGTTTTGTTTTTTTGAGAAAGGAGGAAGGACCAAGAATACATTTATTATACCTCAGTATTGATGAGGCTGTACATGGAAATTCCCTCCTGCTCTTTATTTCCCTTTTGTCCTATTTCCTTCCTTGCTTGTGTTTGTTTTTTTTTTTTACTCATCTTCCACAAACACATATACCAATATATACATTCCTTCTTAAAGGAGCTGATGGTCATTTCTATTTCAAGTCTTCTTCCCACTACAGCTTTATCTCTTCTTTTAAAATTAGAAGGGTAATTTGGACTACCCAAAGAGATATACACCTCTCACAGCAAGACAGATATCCAAGGAACTCTGACTACCCAGTTACTTTGAACAACCACCTCCATTTACTAATTAGCATCTTCTTGAAGATGGCATTGAAAGCTCTTTTTCCAACAGCTATGGTAAAGGAGCAGAAGTGAATAAACACTGAGAAGCAGGGAACACAAACTGCAATGTGAGCTTCCAAAAAGCTCAGGTTTCAGCCCTGCTTTTGGGAAGTGCTCTCCCCTCTGTATACAAAACTGTTTTTCTTAGAAAATTAACAAAACAAAACTTTTGGGAAACAAAAAAGTATGCAAGACTTCAAAAGATAAACAGAGCAATGATAAATAGTACTATTTTAGAAAAAAAAAAATACATACCTAACTTCTTTCAATGCCTTCACCTTAGCAGCCAAACTTCTCATTTTCGTTCCAATGCAAGTACGTAGGGTTTCCTCAAAACTTTCGGCAGTTTTCCTAGATGCTTCCTTCTGTCTCTGAATTATTTACCATTTTTGGAGCAGTGTTTCAGCAAAGAGAAGTAAAGATAGATCACCAGTCACAACAGACAGCCAGGGTTACTAACATGCAGTGTAATTTAGACTTCTGAAAACTAGAGGTGAAAACACACACACAGAGCTGGCCCTCTTCAAAACACTAACAAAATGCCTAGAAAAACATACAAACCAAAGAGAATAATTTTATTTAATAGCTTCTTAGAGGTTAATGGTTCATTTCCTTCCTCTCATTTCAGTAGTGATGTGTTGAAGTGTATTTCTTCGATTACTCCCCATTTGCTAGCAAGTCTTTAGACAACGTGGAATTTTTTCTTTCCTTGCTGAAAAATTTCTACCCATTAGTTCAGAGAAATGAAGTCCAGGACCTCATAAAACTCCTTACTCTCATAACTACCACACCTCAAAATGGTACAGCAAAACAAGAACTGTATGTACAATCATCCTGACCTTCCTACAAGGAATGTTCTTAAGACAAAATAAGGAATATTCTTGACCCAAAAAAAAGCCCACACATCACATCAGGCTATATTCCCTGAGGGGCAACCTAAATTTAAAAGCTCTTGCTCTCATACCACAAAGATGCTTTTATAAACACCACTTTAGGTAATGAAACACAGTCTTGCCTTTCAGACTTGCTACGTATTATATTAAAAAAACCCAAAACACTAACAAACAAAAAACAAACACAGAAGGATTTACATAGTTTCGTATTTGCAGATAAGCATCCAAAGTCTCATGACTGCAGGGTGTTTAAGTACCCCTCAAAGCCACCACCACACATCACCCTTCTAGAACAAATCATTGCCTACCATATTGTTTTTAGCACGGAGCAATTATTTTCTTACTTAAAAGAATATCCACCACTTTTTCTTTTAAAGCAATTTACTTGCATTCAACACAAAAAAGTAATTAAAATTTGTAGAAAACAGGTTTTTAAAAAAATCTTCAGACTATAGACAAGAAATGCTTCTAAAAATTCCTTGCATTCAAGTATTTTTTCTTCGCTGCAGATGTGTATTCTGTTGCTTGTTAATTTATTTTGCATAGAAGTGCACAAATATCCTATCTTCAGTTAATTGAGAATCTGTGCCATGACAGGTTAGTCCATGTAGAAACACGAGTGTTCTAGATAGGGGTAACTGAGTAGCGAAGTATGAGTAGTTGATGAGCAGTTTTATTCCACAAAAAAAGAAAAAGGAAACAGCTGTGTGCAAGTTCAGGTTTGGGGGGTGTGGGGTGTGGTGTGGTGTGTGTGTGTCAAAGGTATTTACACAATGGGAGATTTTCCTTTCATATCTGTAGATAAGAGTTTGCACAACATTTTTCTGAATTCATGCAAACATAACATCCTTCCTCACAATCTCTTCTTACTACTGCTGTTTACCACCCTTAAAAACTGTTCACAGCATTTTTAAGCCTATCAGTAACTTCTCAGATAGTGCTAGAAACTTCCCCTGGAAATAACAACAAGTATCTTTTCTATTAAGCAGCAATTAAGGAAACAATCATTTTTACCCAGTTTAAAAATTCCACAGCCGCTATGATTCTGCAATGCTTAGGAGTTTTCAGCCCAACGCACAGAAAGCTGGCTTTCCCTTACTAAGTTAGTGTGGGAAAAGAGGCAAGGATTACATCCTTATACACAAAGCATGTTTTTAATCACAAAGTGCAAAATTCCGCATCCAAATTGAACACCTAGATCCAAACCAGCAGATGCACCAAGCACGGTGGCAAGCCAGTACGTACACCAAGGGGAGCGAGAGTCCAACCTGGGCTGCAAAACACATGCTGACACACACTGACAGCATCTCCCTGCACCAGGGCAAGACAAGTCCCCACTCAACCAGTTTAATCCTTCTGTATTCCAAACAACAGTGCACAGTTGAACTGCAGTATGATGAAACCCTAAGACAGAAGCACTGTCAGAAACACTTGCAATGAGGAGAGAAGCATCCTCTTCGCATTGCCACATACCTGAAGTTCACGTTTCAGCTGTTGAACCTTCAGTTCTAGTTCCTTTTGCCTCTGCAAGAGATTTATATTCTCCCTTCTGAGAACTTCTTTCTGTTCAGACAGCTTCTGATCTGGTCTTATTTGTGCCAAGCTGGTGTCCGGCACTGAGGTAGAAGCTAGCATCTTTTCCCTTTTAAAAATGAATTAAGAGGAAGTAATTTAAAAAAACAAACCTCAGCAAACAAAACACACCACCAAAAACCACAACGTGCATTCTTTCCTGCTATTGTAATTTCCATAATAACTACAGAATGCCACATCTAAAAGACTGCGGAAGCACCTACACGATCATGCTTTACTTCTTCAGAATTTGTATTCCTCTCCATGCCAGTCTTTACAAAGACTGTTAGACAACACCAAGGAAAAAAATACATCATTTGAAGACAACACTTTATGTTTTCACAGTCTTTCAAGTCTTTCCCATCCAAAACCATCTTACAATACCACACTGCAGACCCAGAAAAGTCAAGGTGTAATTCAAATCTTCTATCTACTAAATAAGCCAAAACACTTTAAGGTTAGTGTTTTGGATCAATACCCTAAAAGTTATTTTTCTAAAGACAAGGAGTGATGTGAAGCCATCTGTCTCAGAGTACTGTGACAGCACTGTACAGTAACAAAGCTCCACTACACCCCACATCAACTTCATTCTCACCTGCATGGCTTTGGTTACATACTAGCTTCTTTCTTTCTCAATTTTGTTCCCGGGCATACCACCCTAAAAATACCTGTGATGTGCAAAAAAAGGCTATTTCTTTTTTAAAATCAAATTCAGAGCATATCTGTAACTCAGAAAACAGGGCAGATCAGAGTATCTAAATGATTCAGGATGAGGCATTTTATAATAAATCTAGACTTTTTTGAAAAGCACCTCATTTCATATTAGTATTTGTTAACAGAATAGACTTGCCTAAATGATCTAATTGTAAAACAGATTTAGATACCATGCTGATATGCGGAAAGGCGTACCCTCAGGTGATTCATTAAAATGTTTGAGAAGCTCAAATTATGGAACATTAGCAAATTCTGAACAAGTTTTTTTGGAGAACATTACTTCTTACACCATCTCAACTTTCTGAATGCCAAGTACCATCTTTCCCACCCACAAACATTTTTCTCAGCAGCCTGTTGTCATGGCAATCCTAGCAACTGTAGGACAAGCCTCTTTAAAAAGATTTCTGACAACAACTGTAACTGCCAACTTACCACCACCTCTTGTCAATGTAATTATGAGTTGCAGAGACACCATTATCCCTAAAGCTTACTTGAAACTGATTACTGGCTTTATTTCTTATATGCACACATTGTTACATTCATACAGAAATAAACCACCAAAATATGTTTGTCCTGCTAGGTAAGTGTACTTTCACATTCCATGTTTGTGCCCAGTGAGTTTTTAGTAGAGGTAAATAATGAACAGTTTTCTACAGATAAACATCTTAATTCCCACCACCACAGCATGCACACACAGACTTCCCTTCCATTCAGCACCAGTATTATTTGATGCTGGAGACAGAAACTGAACTTTTTATTTTAGATACTCAATTCCATCTTCTCATACACCCACATCCCAGCAACTAAGCTAACCAGATCACTCATACAAAGTTTCCTATGACATCCCACTGCCTTACTTTGGGGCAAACATAGGGTTTCCAGTAAAATTCTGATTCCTTGAGCTGGCAGCTATTTGGTCAAAGCGCCCTCTTGGGATGCTATACAGCACGTGATCAGACCTGTTCACCCACAGTGGAACTTTTATCTTCTGATTTTGGTTTTGCATGACATCTACTTTTCTCTCTTCCGCATCTTTACTGCTTCCTGAAGACATGCATTTTTCAGCGAACCCTGCCTTGGTCACCTCTTCTCCAATATCTATTTTTTCATATTCTGCCTGGACAATAACAGTACCATCTTTGTGCCTGGCTTTGTGACGTATTTTTATTTCTTTTTCAAAAACTAGGCTGCTCAAGAACTTCTTCCCCTGTAAAATAAAAATACAATTAAATTGTGTTCTGTACCCTCTGAATAATTTTAGCTGAAATCAGCCATCTTTCTTCTAAGAAAAAGAGGGCATGTTTAAGACCAAAACCCAAAGAGTTGTACAGGTAAAGCTTATGTTTAACACATTTATTCTGAAACAATGCTGTATCTGTACAACTACAGCTGTACCTGATCTAATCAGTGTCAATGCCAGATTGGACTTCAACACCAGTAGTTCTCCCTCAATGTTCAGCTTTGAAGAATTCAGTATCATTTATGCAACACAAGTCCAAAGTCCCATCAACTCTCAATAGTAGGCAATCAGGTTATCCAAGTCTTTTAGAGGATACTAGATCAACTATTTAACAGTATTATACAAAATAAAGTGAAAAAATATTTTAATTATTACATTAACAGCCTTTCAATAAGTGGTCCAGAAGTTGAAATAGAACATAGCAACAAATGAATTACATGTATCTACCTAGTGGAACTCTACCTTACTGAAAGTACTCGTTTAGAAATCAGGAAATGCCAGAATTGGCAGTTATCAATTTCCTTAGTAATATCAAAGAAAAACAGCTTTGAAAGACTCGGGAATGCACTCAAGACCTTCACAAGACACCTGGGAGAAAATTATCTTTTATTAACAGGTTGGTTTTTTTCCTTTTTGCCCCACCACTTCTGAAAACAAACTGGTTTTGCTGAAAATTAAGAGCCAAAGGGGTGAGGCAGAAAAGCTACACAGAGTAAGCAAATAAAGCTTTACCTCAAGCAACAAGAACTGTTTAAAAAAAAAAAAAAAGGAACACACACACCAACACACACACAAAAAAAAAAACCCCACCAAAAAAATCAGACACCAAACCCCAAGGGAACAGAGATTTTCGCCTGTCTTAAGCAGTCACATTAAGCAACGTCAGTAAGATGACAGGGATAAGACCATACACAAGGGGTCTCAGGATCTCCGCTAAATGATGGAGGGACGTGGACAAGGCAGCCGCTTCCTGCCTCCTCTGGCAACTGCTGCTCCCAAGCCACAGGCTGGTTTATCACGGGCAGTGCCAGTGACAGCCTTGAAGCAGCATGGTATTAAGACTGTAAGTGAAGTCCTGGAAAGGGAGATCACCACCAGTAAAACTCAACTGATGGTCACCAGTGCCACTTAAGCAGGACTCAAAGCTTTTACCAGTCCTGTTGGCATCAGCTCCTGAGTCTTTCACATTCATTGCTGGCCAGGGACAACAGGGTTCCTACTACCACTCACATTCACCTGCTATTCTCCCTCCTGATCAAGTCTGTACAGTACCCAGGCACACAGTATTCAAGCAGCTCACTGACATAACTGAATTTATTGCAGGTTCTGTGACCAAGGGATGTATTTCTCCCTCTGAAGGGTGAGAAGCAGAAGTACTTTGTTTCCTCAGTGCCAGGAAGAACTCTGGTCAGTCAGAAATAGACCTAAGGCTCTGAAGATGGCAAAAGTGTACTCTAAAAAGCAGCCCCGGCACAATCTGAACTGTTTTTTTAGACAAAATCATTTTAGTTTCTGGAGTATATTCAAGGTAACAGATCAGACAGTCCTTCCCAGTGTGCCCTGGCTCCACAGTTAAACATCCAGCTCTTAGAAGACTCCTCCTGGTGACACTGTGCTGATATTGGGCAGCATCTCTTAGAGATCCCAGCACCTGAATGCTTCAAAATCTGTTGCTCACCTGGTCAAACATGTTTAAATTCTGATCAGTTGGTATCTGCAGTCCCCAGAGGCTGTACTTCTTGGCAACATTTGGACATTGCAAGTTTGGTGGAATTTCAACTATGTCCGATCTATTTAAAACCTCAGAATTTCCATAGTCAATGTACAATACCTGACACTGCAACAATAATATTAAATATATATCAGCAGAGGTTACACAAACCTCCCACAGAAACGTGCAGACAACTACTAGAATACAAGCATTTTAACACACATGCATGTGGCAGAGATCAGAATCTTCCCTATTAAGCCTAGACATCCTTGAAAGGAAGAAACTGAGTTAGAGAAATCTCTTATGTTGGCATCTGTCTAAAAGCTTAGCAACAAAACTTGAAGTAACAAAACAGATCTTTGCTGGCTTTTTTTTCCCCTCCAAGGGCTACAATTAAGAAGCAATATAAAAGACTTTCTTCAATGGACAGACATGCAATCTAATGTTTCCATGCCAACCAACCTGTCCAGAAATTATCATTTTAAATAGGAACTACTAGCCTTCTGTATCAGTCATCTAATGCTGATTAGCTCCTCTAGGTGATTTGCATCAGTGCTAACATGTCACACAAAGGTTGCCATTTTCACCAGTCAGAAGTTTTGAAATTAAATTACATTGCTTAATAACGTTAACTACCACTCTTGAATCTCTTTATCAAGATACAAACAGCACTTTGCAAGTACATCATGTTTTGCCAGTCTTCTCATCAAAGATCTTTTCAACATTACTTGAATTTGTGTCCCACATGTACATTCACTGTTTTTAAATGCATTCACACAGCAAGTTTCAAAAAGAGGAGTTGCATTTATTGTTTCATCCTGCATGTAGAACTGATATATGATTCAAGACTTAAAAAAAAAGGTTCCTGCCTTTTCATTGTTGATCACTTGCTGTACCATACATCTGTACCAACATCTATCTTCAGAAAAACAGCCACCATAAATCTGAAATTAGGAAAAAAATATCAAGAATAGCATTCTGAAAATATAAGCATACCTCAAAATGGTATTTGTAATATATTACAAATCTTAATTTCACACTCTCCTACAGATATTCCAACAGCAGTATGAAAACAAAGTAATACATTTGATATCCTATCTCTCATAACAATATATCCTAATGCTTCAAAAACATAATGCTCTACTCCAAAAACAGTAGCACAAAGAAAATTTTGCTACTAGAAAAACACCAACATTTTACACATTTTAAACATGGCTTTTCTGTTAATGTGTTGCTATGACATTTTATTGACACTGATAGCTTAGTATGCCTGATAAAGGAACTGGCCAATCACACCACAAACATGCTGGGTTTGCTGTTGGTGCGTTTTCTTCCTTTTCAAGAGGAATGTTAAAGGTCATTTACCTGCACACACAGTTCAGAAAAATAATTTTATTTAAACTTTACTTTGCAATAAGCCATCAGTAGTTCACACACAAAACCAGAAGTTGCCATCACTCTTCATATGCTTGTCATAGAACTGCTATTAACTATGCCCTTGTTATCTCCTTAAGAGGACTTTGTCCAGCACATTGAACATTACAGGTTTTTATAACATCTTCCACATTTCTTGAAATGGAGCAGAGAATCACTTCTCTGAAAAAGCATTGCTCTCTTGTTGAAGACAACCCATAATGTACACTGGACAACAAAAGAGGATTCAGCGTTCTGTGTATTACCTTCTTGTAGTATTTCCTGAGTGTTATAAAAGCCTATGGTTGCATAATTTAACTGAAGTCTGAAGTGCAGAAAGATTTAAACTTGCTCTCGCAAAACAAGTGTTTTCTTTAAGAAAGCCAGCATTTCTTAAAGAGATCTTAAGAGAATATAACCCACAGCATAATCAAAGATCAAGAAAATACCTAAGAAAATGGTTGCATATAATTAAGGCTTTTACATCCAGGTGAAAAACAAACTCCACATATACACAACCTTCTTACCTTACTAAAATCAGGTTTGCCAAAAACTGCATTAGCTCGAGGACAAGCTTCGGCCAGCGCACAACTTAATTTCAAGAGGTCATTACATCTACTGACATTCTAAGAAATGTGGGGAGAGGGTACAAGTTATTAACTGTCCCTTTTAATAGATGCTTGATGGCTTATAACAGCCAAAAAATAAATCAAAACAGTTGTACTGCTGTTGAGACAAGTAATGCTCACCTTAAGCTTTCAATCTTCATGGTTTTAGTTGCATTTGTATGCCTGCTCTCATTTTCTTCCAAAAATTAACAAAATGGATCAGGGGCAGGTAATGTACCCCAGAGTAAGTTTGCTACGAATGTTTTTAACAGTTTAATTACCAGCTGCTGCAAGCAGTATGCAGATCTTATCAGTCCTTCCTCACATATTTTAGTATTTGGTATTCTTTTTCTTTCTCTCCTTAATACAATGAGACAACAGCTCTGTTCCCTTGTTCCCTTTACATGCAAGACTGGGGATTTGGTTTGGCTGACAGAAGCAGAGTCTTTCCCATTACAACTTGGCATCTGAACCACTGTAAAACTGGGTCAATTCCAGTAATATGGCATTTTTTTAAGACAACATTCTACTCATAATTCCAAGGAAAGGATCCAGAGTTCAGAGCAGCAAGTACTAGTCCAACAAAACATCTTGTTAACCTTAGAAGTACACTCCTAACTTTTGTACCTTACAATATTAAAACCACTGTGTCTGAGTCTCAGAATGCCAGGGTAAGAACGTAAAGGAGAATTACCTATGACTATTATATCTAAAAATCCCTTTATTAGAAGAAGCTATTCCATGAACAGAATGACTAAAGTTTGGTCCCCCTCCTGAAATTCCTATTAGGGACGTGACAAGCAGCATTACCTCCTCCAACTGGCTCAAAGCTACACAGCTGTTGACTAACACACACACACCAATTAGCCAGCAGACCACACAGAAAAGACAAGTTTTGGTACTCCTTCTGGATTTTCCCCTCTCCCTGCTGTACGTTCCAGATTAAGGAAAACTCCTCATTGTTTTGGGGTTTTTACTTTTCCTTACTCCCCCTCCAACACCCTCCTGCCCATCTACACAAAATTCGAAAGGACCAAGCATCTTGGAACCATCTCCATGTCAAGCTTCATTGAAACTGCCCCACACACTCCACTGCTGGGCGGGGGGCAGAAATCCAGCCCCAGCAGGGCTCCAACTGCCTCCTACAGTAGTCTTCAGTCAACAGCAAATATTTTTAACCCCCAATTTATTTACTTTTTGGCATAGGGTCTACCAAATACTGAAGAAAACCCAGCTACAATTCAAATGGATGAATAAACAATTCTTTTTGACATTTCAGAAAAGAATAACTGATTTGAAATCTAAAGTAACTTTTTTTTTCCCCAACATCAAATGCTATAATTTATGCTCACTTCTATAGAAACTTGCTGAGGGTAGGGGGGGGATAAGATTTAAAACCACTGTTAAAAATAAAATAGTTCTCTGAATTCACCTGTGCCCAAAATGTTACAGCATCTTCAACATGGCTGCCCACCACATCTTCAACTTGAAGGAGGGGAAAGAAAAAAAAAAAATTATTCTCAAGTGTAAAATTATGTGTTTTTTTGTTTTAAAAGCCACCTCACATTACCTTTATCATACTCTGTGTCTCCATCCATGACAACAGACTCTGAAACATTACAAGATATCTATAGTTAAAATAGAAATTAAGGTATTCTTCCTCCCCTCCATGAGAAGGTACATGCACCCGACTCACAGGCCCCCAGGACTTCACGGGTTCACTGCTTAACAGGCTCCTGCTCTCCTACCGCCTCACCCCCTCGTTTCTCCTCAGCCTTTCCCCCCGCCAAGTGAGGGCCACCCAGTTCTTTAGCAAAAAAACCCTTTTTTTTACACGAGGAAGCGCCATAATGCTGGCACGTCTGCGACTTCCCGCCTCCAGAGAAGAGCCCCCTCCTCACCGCGCAAACCCGCGCCCCTGGGAACCTCCGGGAGCGAGGGTCGGGTACCAGCCTTCCCCCCGCCACGGAGCGGCCCC